TAGACCCTCAGGCATGTGGCAAGACCTGGCTTTGGAAAAATGGTGCAGAAGAAGCTGAAGCAACCTAACTGCTACTAAGAGTTTTATTGGCACAGGAGCTCTGTGAAAGAGACAAATAGGGACATTCAAAGCCTCTGCTCCTTGTATTTGTTTTTTATTAGAGCCATCAGTTTGAGCACATATTTGCCTGCCCAGGTGGATGTTTGCAGGGCCTGGGAAGCTTCAACTCCACAGCATGGAGTCCCTCCCTTGTCAGCATGGCCACCTCTCTTATGGGTGCAGACAGTGCCAAAGGTACTAAAACATGGAATCTCAGAATGATTTGGGCTGGAAGGGACCTTAAAGCCCAGCCAGTCCCACCTCCTTCTGTGGGCAGCAACTAGCCCAGGTTGGTCAAAGCCATGTCCAACCTGGCCTTGGACACTTCCTGGGATGGGGCAGCCACAGCTGCTCTGGGCACCCTGTGCCAGGGCCTCACCACCCTCCCAGCCAGGAATTCCTTCCCAATATCCCACCCATCCCTGCCCTCTGGCAGTGGGAAGTTATTTCCCCTTGTCTTGTCCCTCCAGGCCCTTATTTGAAGTCCCTCTCCAGCTCTCCTGGAGCCCCTCCAGGCCCTGGCAGGGGCTCTGAGCTCTCCCTGGAGCCTTCTCTTGTCCAGGTGAGCACCCCCAGCTCTCCCAGCCTGGCTCCAGAGCAGAGGGGCTCCAGCCCTGAGGACATCTCTGTGGCCATATCTGGACTTGTTCCAACTGGTCCGTGTCTTTCTTGTGCTGAGGACTCCAAACCTGGATGCAAAGCAGAGAAGAAACAAAATGGGCCTTGCTTTAAAACCCTTGAACCAGGGTATTTTCAGGTTGGTCTGTTACATGTGTTAGTGAGGCCCTTTTGGCTGTGCAGTTTTTACATTCATTTACTAGCTGTAGTTTCCTTTCTTTACCCGGTTAAATCCTGCTTTATCTTTAGGTGCGTTTAGAGGATTTGCTACTAGTGCCTGTTTCACACATCTGTTATTGCTCATCTTATCCCTACTTGGACAGGAGTTTGGTAAGGAACAGAACACCCTAAGAATAGACTTGGAACTAGTTGATGGAATTCAGAAGTTTATGGGCAAGGTGAACCCACAGGGATCATCCACCTGGATTTCCCAAAGGTATTTGGCAAGGTTCCTCAGCAAAGGCTCCTGAAGGAAGGAAGCAGCTCTGGAACAGGTGGTGAGATCCTTACAGGGGACATTGTTTGCTAAAAGGTAAAGAACAAGAGGGAGAAGGGAAGAGGGAAAAGACTGGGCAATAAAAGAGATTAAGTTTCAATGTACATCAATATAAAATGGTGCACAGGGAGAAAAACCAATTTTAACTCTATTTATGAAACAACGGGTTCCAAGTTAAGTGTTACCATCTGAAACATCGGGGTTGTTACAGATTGTGCTGAGAAAATGTCAGTTCTGTGGTCAGCAGCCATCCAGAGTAAACTGAGTGTGTCAATTGCTGGGGGAAAACAGAACAAAACAACCCTTGCACCCTCTGGATGAAAACATCTGAGGATTCCTGGAGCTTTGAGGTGTTTTGGGTGGGAAGGGACATTCCTGGAGGGTGTGGGGTGAAGGGCTGCTCTCACCCAGCCCCGGAGGGGAAATCTTGCAGAGAGGGGAGGGGCAGCTCTGTGCAGACCCTCCTCTGCCTCGAGGATCTAACCATGGGCAGCCTGCCATTTTCCAAAGAGTCACCTCTGGGGCTGCCAACAGCCCCATCACCTGGGAAAGTCGGTGTGCTGACCTCTGCCAGCAAAACTGATTTATAAAGCAGAATTTCTACAGGTTTTTTTAATATATAAGCTGGGAAGATTCCCTTAGAGGCTGGTAGCTGTGGGGAAGGTGAATCTCTGCTGAGCTGGACACAGCAAGTGGCAGAGAAGCACTGCAGTGTCAATTCCTGCCTGCAATGCTGGAAGTCCCAGCAGGCTCCAGGCTGGGTGTCTTGCTCTGACCCACCAAAGTGGGACAAAGGGAGAGGCAGAAAATCTACCACAAACCCCACCAGGCTGGTGACCAGGTTCTGGAGCTCAGATCCTTGTGCCCTTCCCAAGCAGGTCTGGGTGCCAGTTATTTTCCCTCAAATTAGGAGCAACATCTTTGTGAAGACTGGAAAACACAGAAAAAACCTGGTCTCTCTGTTGGTGTCTGGGGCTGGTATTTAGCAAGGCTGCTGTGGAGGAAGGAATTGCTGTTCCTGCCTGGATCCCAGCGCTGCTGCTGCTGCTGCTGCTGCTGCTCAGTGAGGGCTGAGCTCGGGTCCTTCCACCAGCTGTTTCCCAATAAAGCCCCACTGGCGGCCCTGAATTGTGCTCCACTTGCAGCCTCCAACATGTCTCTGAGTAGCTGTTCTGGTGCTCTTTCCAGACTTCAAATCAGGGTTATGGGCTCACATCTCCCACACACACATTGTGAGCTCAAGCCTTGGTACTCAGCAATTAATCTGACACACTCTCAGTTTTTGAGGGTTTATGGTGGCACAGCAAAAGGGCAGGACCTCCCTTATTTCCTTTTCCCAGCCTTTCCCAAGCTTCCTTAGCAGTGCCTCTGGGATGGAAAATACCTGCTCCTCTGCTCCCACCTCGTCTGAGGTAACACCAGCTGAAAAAGAAGCAAGATCTAGGTGCACTTGGCTGTGCATCTAATTAGAGCAGTGCACAAGCCTTCATCCTGTTTGAAACCCTGCAGCTTCCCACCGCTCATCCCTTGTCCCCTGGGGCTGCCTGTGAGGAGCACTGAAGGAGTGGGACTTAACCCTGTCACGCTCCAGTTGGTGCCGTAATTGCCCGGGGCTCTTTCATCTGCCCTCTGTAATTGGGATCACTTTATCCCTGGCTTCAGCCTCCCTAATCCTACAGGTAGCCCTTCAGCTTGCTGTTCCCCACAGTGGAGGATTGCTGCTCAACTTTCCAAAAAACACCCCTTCCCCAGGGTAAGGAGAAGCCAGACTCAGCTGTGCCAGTGCTGAGCAGCACCAGGATCTTCCTTCACGCTCAGCACCTTCTCTGGACCTCCCATCCTCCTCCTCCTGCCCTTCATACATCCCCCACCTTCTCCAGACACCCCAAATTTCCATCACTTTGGCCAGCATGAGTGAATTTAAAACTATTTTGAAGAAAAGGCTCGGGATAGTGTCAATCCATTTCAAGCTGTGTTTTGGCAGTGCAATGGCAGTGCAGGACATTGAGGGAGGGACACGTGCTGAGAGAGGAAATAGAGAAGGGACAGGGGTGTTTCTGTCTGTCCAGATGCAGAACTGGCATGTGGGCACTGGGAGGGGACACCAGAGGCCAAGCAGTGGCCCCAGCCAGCAGCACCAGTGGGACCAGGGGCCCCAGGTCTCCTGTCTCTGCTGGCTCGGTGGGGACACGAGGCTGCTGTGATGTGAATGTGACAGCTGGGGCTGCAGTGCTGCAGCTGCCACATCTGGGGTGAGCACTGCATTTGTGCACCCCCTGGCACCCTAAAGGGACACCTCCTCGAGTGGCAAGTCCAGCACTGCCTGCTCAGCCCTTCTCCTGCTGAACACAGGGAAGAGCATGGTGAGAGAGCGGAGTGAAATCCCCCTCTTGAGTCCAGGACCTCCAGCACACCTGGACAAGGCTGGCAGAGGTGTCACACCTGGTGGGTGAGGAGGAGAAGGCCCTGTCCATCACCGTGGCACATCTCTGGAACAGTGAGGGAGCCCATGCTGATCTGGCCACCCAAGAGGACACTCACACACTTTGGGAGGATGCCTGGTAACACAGGAACACTTTGGGATTTTTTTTCCTTACTGTAAGCTTAGAGCTGAGTTTGCAGTTTGAACTCTGACCTGCTGCTGCTGAAGGGGAGCGTGTCACCTCCAGCCCTGTTCTCCTGAACAGCAGCACGTGCTGAGGATGGCATTGCTAATGAATTCCCTGGGTCATCTCACCCCCACCAACCAGCACCTCCTTGCCAAGTTATGGAACTACAAATCCAGCAGAAGCTCTCAGGGCCTTTAGGACACTAATTAGCCTTCATGGGCTGCACCTGGGACTTCTCTCTATCCACATGGACCAAGGAACCAGCTGAGCTCAGCCCTGGGCCTGTTGTCTGTCACTGCTCTCTGTTGTGGGAGCTCAGCAGTGCCCAAGTGACCCAGGCTCGCCTCCTCCTCTCCATGGACCTGCCAGGATTATGTCTGACCCTGGGTACCCCCACCAGACTCACCCCAACCTACTGTGGTCCAGACCCTTAGAGTATCCCTGTGTAAATGTGGAACCTGGAGGAATCCCTGTTGGCTGCAGGTAAGAGACGAGAAGAAACAGAGCACAACCTGTGCCTTGGAGCCCTCTGATCAAATGCTTCCAGTTTCACCTGGAATTCACTTCATTTGAGCTCTGGGCACACACAGTCTATGCCCCAGGCCCTATTGTCTGTGTCCCTGGCATGGCTGGGCACAGCCCATCCCTTTAATGGAAAAGGAGGAGCTCGTGGGGATCATGATTATCCATGGAAAGTTTGGGTGCAGTAATCAGGAAATAGTGGTCTGCAAAATCTCAAAGGGAATGGGAAAGGTGAGGAGTGATACGCAGGCTCTGGCTCCCGTGCCCTGCAGTGTGTGGGATCCTCTGGGAGGCTGCTCTGGAAAGTGAGGGACCTGGGCAGAGCTGGCAGGTCCTTAAGGATCCTCGGATTGCCCATCCCGATAATCAGGTGTGCAGGCACTGTACTGGGAGACGGGTTTGAGCTAGACTGGGGATGGAGCTCCTGGCCGAGCTCCAGTGCAAACAGGCAGCATGGAGAAGGTGGAAGCACGGACATGGAGAGATTTGGGGATGGGGATTGGACTCGGCGGCGAGTCCGCCTCAGCCGTGCGTCTGTCCCGTCTCCCGCGCCGCCGGAGCGCTGGGGGGACACACGGCGGCAGCGGCGGAGAGTCGGGCTGTGCCGTGCCGGGGCGGGGCCGGGCCGGGCGGGCCGTGCCGGGGCGGGCCGTGCCGGGGCGGGGCCGGGCCGGGCTGTGCCGTGCCGGGGCGGGGCCGGGCCGGGCGGGCCGTGGCGCGGTCCCGCCCCGCGGGTTTAAGCGGCGGCGGCGGCGGCGGGCGCGGGTCCCGCGGCGGCGATGGCGCTGCGCTGCCTCCTGCTGCTGCTCTGCGGAGCCGCGCTGGGACCCGCCGTCCACCTCGACTTCGCCGAGCACCGCAGCCAGGCCGCCAAGATCAAGGTCAACCCCCGCGGCAACCTCTGGGCCACAGGTAGCGGGCGGGGGGCCGGGACACGCGGGAGGTGCGGGCACGGCGAGCCCTGCGCGGAGCCCCCGCTCCCACCGCGCCAGCGGGATGCTGGCAGTGCCGCGAGGGGCAGGGGGAAGCCAGGGCAAGCGTGAAGTCACCTGCACCTCTGGGCAGCAGGTCCGACATCCCCAACAGACTGACCAGTCTGGCTTCCCTGGATATGAGGTTCAGCATCCCTGGGCGGCAACTCTGTAACCCCGGAGATCAGCAGGAACAGAGAGGGAAGTTTCCCAAAAATCCCATGTGGAGTGAGGACCTGGGATTCCTGGGTTTCTCTTGACTCAGGTGGTTTGGGCATTAAGTCACTCGGTGCTCCCCGTTGGTTTGTGCCGGTGCAGGGTTGCCGGTGCCAGCTCAGCTGGAGCCCTGTGTCCCCCCAGACACCCCGTGTGTGGTGTTGCAGGTCACTTCATGGGGAAGAAGAGCGTCACAGGCTCCCCACACCTGGAGACTGCGGAGGAGCCTGCAGTGCCAGTGGTCTTTGGTCCCTCTCTCCGAGCCCTGCTGGAGGACATGATGGAACTGCTGACCCGCGAGCTCCTGAAAATCCTCTTGCAAGAAAGGCTACTGGATGAGAACCAAGGGAAATATGACCTCACTGGCCAGGTGAACATTTACTTAGCTAGAGGGAGATGCTCGGAGCAGAAAGGTGGAGGAGCTCTGCTGGAGAGGGGAGCACCTGCACAGCTGCTAGAAGTGCATTCCCCTCTTTACCCTCCTTTTAACCCTCCTTAAACCACTTCTTAAGACCAACCATAAAGGGAGAGAGGAGAAGTGTCCTGAGGCTTGTGTCTAGCTGGGCAGTGACAGATAATCCCAGGTGCTTGGGAAGGGTGTGAGGATGAGCAAGTAACACTTCAATGGAGCTGTGGCACTGGTGGTCCCCAGGAGTTGTTAATAAGCATCTGGATCTTCCTCGGGTGCAGAAGAGGATGATGTCCCCTTTTCCAAGGACAGGGAAATCCTTTCTCCCTGTTATTTCTACAGCAGGAGACCAAGAGGGATGCAGTATGTGAAGGGAAAGGCATCTGTCAAGCAAAGAGCTTTGGCTCTGTGTCACTGTGGTTGGAACCCCTCGATGCTGAGGGCACAAAGCCTTGCGGAGAGTATGTGTGCACTGGTCCTGCTGCTGCAAGCGGGTTTTGGGGAGCAGGGAGAGGGCAGGAGCTCCACTGGTGCCACTGTGTACCAGCAGACCCTCACTGTGGCTTTTACCTTGGAGCTCACTCAGCTCCTAGTGGAAAACCTGCCCCTGGGAGCAATGCACAGGCACAGATCTTCAGGCAGGATGTAGAGATTGAATTGCTCAGTCCAGAGATGGAATTTCTGCATCCATAAATGGAATTAATCAGTGTGGCTCTGCTTGTCTGTTGCCTCCTGCACACTTCCCTGGTGTTTCACCCTTTCCAGTCAGTGCAGGAAGTAAGGGGGAGTCTAAAAAGGATGAAATCCTCTTAGGGCAGTCCCACCTGTGCTGTCCCACTGAGCCAGATGCCTGAGGAGCTATCCAGTAGCACTGCATGCAGGTTTTTTAGCAGCTATTTCTGCTGTGCAGGGTTAGGCAGGACTTGCTCCTCGTTGGCACAGGTGGAGCAGAGTTGCAGGACCGGGAGCCTGAGAGCCACTGGTTGCTCGAGCCCCTTTTGGACTCACTTCCAGCAGAGGAAGGTAACCTGAAAGGAGAGCTGTTCCCATTGGGGAGAGGGCTTTCCACAGTGAGGACACAGCTGGGCATGGTGAAGGCAGCAGCCTACCCCACTCCCTGTGCAGTGTGCTGGGCTGCTGCAGTGTTGGCATCTCAGATGCAGCTGGAAAGGACATGAGGGCTGTGGAAGTTCTGGACCCTTCCCCACTCCCCCGCCAGGAACCTTTTAGCAGGAGAGGGCACTTGGTGAGAAGATGGGAGAGCTGGCAGATGTGCTGCCCTGCTTTGTTTCTGAGCGTGGTGTGAATTTGGGAGAGCTGCTCCTCGCTGCTCACGTTGCAGATGTGCCTGTGCAAAAGCTGCCTGGGGTGCTGGTGCTGTAACACAGGTTCCAGCTGGGTGCCAGAGTCCTGCCAGCCCTGCCAGTGCCCATTCCCCGTGCTCAGGGTGGGCACTGGCCAGGTGTGGCACTGGGTGCCAAAGCCCTGCTGCTGGAGGGTGCTTTGGTGCTTTGTCTGTGGCCATGCAGGGGCTGGCCAGTGCCTGCCTCGGTGCCCACGTGTGGCATCACAGCTGAGCTGCTTGATGTAAAACTGGCTCCTGCCCCTCACTTCCTCTTCCCAAACCCTTGCCCTGGTCCCCTTGGCCACCTTGCTGGGGGCTGGTTCTGGTTTTGCTCCTTGGGCACCTCTGAGCACTTCACTTCCCCAACTCCTGCGCTGCTCCTTTCTCCCACCCATCCCCAGGGCATCCTCGCATCTGTGTTGTTGTGGATATTGCAGAACTGCTTCTCCCCAGTGCCTCTCAGTGCTGTCCACGTTGTACTGTTCTGTGTGACCTTATTTTTTTTCTTGCTCTTGTGGTTGTCACTGTGCCAGTCCAAATTCCTGCCACCCTGACAGTTTTCCCTTCAGCATGAAAGTTGCTGGACACCAGGTCTCAACACCCAGTCTGAATAGATTTATGTGCCATGTTCCCACCTTCCTCACAGGCTTTCTCATAGCGCTGCCCTGTGAAACTCCTGGTCCATGCCCTGCTCAGGGTCTGTTGCTTCCATCTCAAGCCATGTGTGGCAGACAAGGCTTGGCTCTCAGCGTGCTGGGGCTTCACAGTGCTGCCACGTTGCTCTGGGTGACAAAGATTGGCCTGGCAGAGGAGGATCCTTCCCATCCTTTGCCACCTCCTTGGGTGTGTGGCATTGATTCTCCAGGATGCAGAGACCACGTGTGTGGAGTGGAACAGCTCCAGGGCTGTGGGGAGAGCCCTTCTGCCTGAAGGCAGCTGCTGCCCTGTGTAGCTCTGGGACCTATGGTCAGTGCCAAACCCACAAACCCCTCTGTGACTCTTCCCTGCCATGTTTTCTGTCTCTTTTTGCCTTCTCACATTCTCTGATGAATGAGACTCTCCCCTGAAGCTCAACCCAGTGGCTGCTGCCTCACTGGGATGACGCCTCCCTCAGACGCTGCCCTCAGCATCCGAGTTGTGGTTCAGCTGTTGGAGCACAGATGGGAAGCTTTGGCTCTGTCCTTCTCATGTGCCACCCCAAGCCACCCCTGAAAGTGCCACTGCCCTCCAGCATGGAATTTTGTCTGATGTGCCCACGGTCCCAGCACGGCTGCTGATGGTGGTGGTTGTGTGCATGACCCCATGTCTCACTGCTCTCTTGTTTTGTAGGAGAAGGGCTCCTAACGAAGGTGCTGGAGAAGTACTTTTCAAGCTGAAGAGGTGCACCTGGGGAGGATGAGGTCTGCAGGGTCGGCTGTGCGTGGTGAACAGAGGAGAGCCTTGTCCTTGTGCGTTTCTATAGCGACATCACTTTTATTTATTCTTTCTGAAATATTGTCCATAGTGATGGTGTGTGTGAAAATGGGGCCTCCCTGTATAGTTCCTGTATGTTTTGTGTTTCCTTGATGTCTGATGTGTGAATAAAGCTGGTTCTTTGCCCAGACTCTTCTGTGGGGGTAGGAAGGCAGACCTCCAGGGCTTGTGAAGGGGGAATGGGGAGTTGGGAGCACCTTGGGGCAGGGTGAAGGGAAGCTCTCAACAGCTCAGAGGGGTTGGATTCAGTCCCTGCATGCCAGAGGTCAGCAGTGGCTCCGTGTGGTGGAAAAATCTCTCCTCCAACCCATGCTTCCAAAGAAAGGCTCAGAAGTCTTCTGTTGTTCGGTCTCAAGGCAGTTTATTGCAAGTTATCTAAAAGATTTTCTCCTTGGGCTGCTGTGGTTTGCTCACAGCTCAGGCAGAGGCACACACACACCCTGACATCCTCTCTGACTCCCGACTGCTTCTTCTCTCCCTGCCCAGGGCTGCTGCTCTCTTTTATATGGTACATTAGGTGTTACATGTTTACAGTTTTTCCCCAATGCCTATTACCTATATTAAATGGTGTTTTTCTACTCTAAACCAATCTGTGAGTGCCAACATCACCAAGAACGTGGAGGTAAGGGAGAAGAGAGGGAGGACAGGGCAGATCCCTCCATCTTAAAACCTCTGACCCCCATGTACAAAACCAAAACCCCCCTGTACAGCACTCAAAAATTCTCCCCTCCACTTTGTGACTACTTCTACTCTAATATCTAAACTTTTGTGACTTCTTGTTCTACCTGCAAGGTTGGTAAATCATTCCATGGCTCAAATCCAAAATCACAGCTGTTTCCAGCTGCCTGCCAGGGTCTCAAATGCTTCTGACCTGGACCCGGAACATCCAAAAATGTCTGAGGGACATTTTGAGTTCCGACACCTGCAGCCTCTGCTCACTGAGGGAGACCCTGACATGATAAAATGGCACACTTGGTTGAGCTGATCACAGCACTCACCCTGGAGCATTTGTGACTCTCTTTGCTGGGAATGTTCCCAGCAAAATCTTATCCTGGCTGTGGTGGGATTGTGGCTCAGTCGGAGTCCTGGCCTTGTGGCACCTCAGGGTTAGCTACAGGCTCGTTGGCCTTGGCCATCAAACACTCAGTGTGGTTATGAGGCTGCTTTGTGATGATGGCTTGGTGCTCCCTCACCTCATGCGTGCAGTTAAACACTCACAGGGGCAGAGGCACAGCCCTGGGCTCTTTGTGGTGCAGGATGGCAGGAGAAGGGAGCTGGGGCCTGCCTGAAATGGGTGATGGAACAGTCCCAGGGGCAGACTCTGCGTCTATACCTTCTGCAAGTGCTGCTCACAGGTGCACCCTAAGGCTGCCAGCCACTCTGGGGATCATGGAATGGCTTGGGTTAGAAGGCACACCTTGTGGCCATATTCCAGGGACAGGGACACCTTCTGCTATCCTGGGTTGCTCTAAGCCCTGTCCAGCCTGGCCTTGGGCATTTCCAGGGATGGGGCAGCCACAGCAGCTCTTGGCAGCCTGTGCCAGGGCCTCACCACCCTCCCAGGGAGGAATTCCTTCCCAATATCCCCCCAGCTCACCTTTTCAGTAGCTGGAGTAAAGCTTTGACTTAAAACAAATTATTAGCAAGAAAAATAATGACACTGTGAATTGTGTTTGACACTGGAGAAAGCCAGATGCCCCTCAGCCAGCTGGTGAGGGACTGGCAGCCTGATGGGGTTCATGGGACCACTCTGCTGAGCTTACTGGAGGGGGAGGCACCCAGGTGAGATCCTGAGATCCTCATTCTCCCTCTGACCTAGCCAGAACCTGCCCAGCTGCCTGTCTGTGTGTCCCCAGCCCCCATCACTCTCCTCTGGGTTGAGATAAAGAAGGGTGAGGTCACTTGTTAACTGCTGCCATGGGCAGAACCAGCTCACCTTGGGGAATAGAAGTTAATTTATTGTGAATTTCAGTATTTGAATCAGGTTTTGGAAAAAAACAACCACCCCCAAGAATTTTCACACCTGGGGGGAAGGCAGGTGTGAAAATTCCCCTCCCCTTTGCCAGGCTGACTTTCAGCACCTCTCCTGCTCCCTGTTGTCCCTGCAGGTGACACTCACTCAGTCCCCTTGTGGGAGCAGCAGCTGAAGGCAGGAGGGATGCCCCACGGGCAGTGCCTTCCGTGGCAGTGGTCCATCCAAGGAGTGCATGTTCCACCGTGGAGCCTCTCCATGCTCCTCTCTGAGCTGCTGCCCAGGCTGGGGCAATGCTGAGTGCCCAGTGCCTGCCTTGGACCCCATCCTACAAGAACAGGGTGACCCAGGCTGGAGAAAATCTCAGCAGATCTGTGGTTCAGCCCAAAGCAGCGGGAGCCCGACCTCAGACTGAACTCAGGGCTTGAACACCTCTGTGGATGCAGGCTGGCTCCACTGCTCAGTTGCTTCAGTTTCTATTTATCCCTCACAGGCAAACAGCTACTCAAGCCTTAAATCACTATTCCCTCTTGAATTTAGATTACAAACTGAGAGGATCAGGAAAGCTTTTGAGGACGCTCATAATTTTTTTTGGCAATTTGCTGGCTCTGCCCTGTCATCCACTTCTGACATTTACCTGCTGGCCCACAGCTGCATAGGCTCAGCACAATGTCCTGTCACTCACCAGGAAAGTTCCAGGACCAAAGATTTGTGCTCAAACTTAGAAAATGAGTAAAATCTTCACTTTGGGTTTTTTCCCAGCCCTGATTTGTTTCTGTTGCTCCTCTGGTTTGAGGATAACCCTCCCTTCTGCTGCTGGGGCTCAGGTCCTTGCTCACAGCTGTTTCTGCACACTGCAAGCAGAGATGCAAGGAAGCCTTTAGGGTCACTGGGATGATTTTCCTGGGGTGCTCAGACCTGGGCCACGTTTCTTTGGAAGCCCTGAGAGCCCATGGGCTCTGTGACCATTGCTGTTCTGGGCTTCCCCCACAACCTGAGGCCGTGGCACGGCCCCAGGGATGGGAAAAGGACATGAAGGGAGATAAATAGACACAAGTCACCTTCACGATGGGCGTTTGTGTCTTCGGCTGTGGGACTGACTCAGAGCAGGAGCTGGCTCAGAGGGAAGTCAGTGAAAGTCCACTGCCACCACTTGGTGTCATTGCTGTCCCAGGCTCAGTGACATGCTCCCCGTGTGCTCGCTGACAGGGGACACTCCTGCTCAGCTCTTGCAAAGACAGCAGGCCCCAGGCTGGGTTGTTCCCTCCTCTGGGGTGCTTGGAGACCTCTCCTCCAGAGGAGACCAACAAGGCAGGCAGGGAGGGAAGGAAGCAGAAAGGAAAGCAGGCTGCCAACAGTCAAATTCCATTGCCATCCCCACGCTCCTCCAGGGAAAGCTCTTCACATCCTCATCTGAACATCAAACCCCGACCTGACCTGGTAAATCCAGCCAGGACAGAGCCTGGGACAACCCAAGGGAATTGATTTCCAGAGCTTGGCACTGTGTCCAAATGATTTCCAGGGCAGGGCGTCCTAGTGCAGAGGAGCTGAGGTTAAATGCAGTGTACAGTCTCAAAGCATAGAGAGATTCCAAGTGGCCAAAAAGGCCAACAGCAGCTGGCTTGTAGCAAAACCAGTGTGGCACAGGCCAGGGCAGTGCCTGTGCTGGCACTGCTGCAGCACCTCCAGCCCTGGGGGGAAGCTCTGGGCCCCTCACTCCAAGAAGGATTTTTGGGGGACTGGAGCATGTCCAGGGAAGGGAACAGAGCTGGGGAAGGGTCTGGAGCACCAGGAGCAGCTGAGGGAGCTGGGGGGGCTCAGCCTGGAGGAAAGGATGCCCAGGAGGGACCTTCTGGCTCTGCACAACTCCCTGGGCAGAAGGGGGCAGCCAGGTGGGGTCAGGGTCTCCTTCCAGGGAACAGGACAAGAGGAAATTATCTCGAGATCTGCCAGAGGATGTTCAGATTGGACATCAGGAGAAATTTGTTCATGCAAAGGGTGGTCAGGTATTGAAAGGGGCTGCTCAGGAGAGGGAGTCCCCATCCCTGGAGGAGTTCAAGGAATGATTTGATGTGGCATTCAGTGCTCTGGTCTGGTTGACAAAGTGGGGATTGGTCACATACTGCGCTGAATGATCTTGGAGGCCTTTTCCAGCCTCAATGACCCCGTGATTCTGTGCTAAGGCATACAAAAGCCTTTTCCTTATGATATGTCCCACCAGCTCACTTCTCCTATCATGCACCAGCCTCTGGAAAAATCAAACTGGTAAAGATGACACTGAGAGAGTGATGGGACCTTCAGGCATTGGGGGATGATTTAACAGAGGCCAACTGCTGCTCACTCAGCTCCAGGGGGGCCTGTTGGGCTGGCCCTGCCCAATCCAAACCCTCAGGTACAGTCAATGGGATAAAGTTCCTGCAGTGCACATAAAGGATATGCTGGAGAAAACAATGTGAGTTATTCCTGCCTCAGGCAAAGACAGACCCCTCTGTGGGATTCCTTTTACTCAAGGACCTGGGTGCACTTTGTGGGTGATGCTGGAGGAAGGCAAAGGCCAATGTGCACCTCAAGGTGATTTAATTTAGGGTGAGAACAGCCAATAAATTCAATTGTATGAAGTTAGTTGATACATAATGCTGTGTATTATCACTTCTATATGCTCCTCATGCCACCAGGCACCTCACAGCACTGTCTGGATTTGGGGGTCTGAACCTGGCTCCCCTCTGATCATCACATTAACAAAAAATGAACTTTGATGAAACTGGACAAGTGCAGTGGTGATGGAACAAAAACTGACTTTAACATGGGACAAATTTCTGCTGCCCTGAAAGACAGCTGGAGCCCAATGTCCTGGTCAAAATGAACTCTGGACTTTTTCAGGCACAGTCCATCAGCTGAGGGGGTGATCTGTGCCTGTGTACATCCACCAGAGCACAGGAAAGCTGATGGGGCTTGGGAAGTGTGGAACCTGGCAACCATCAGTGACAGGGTGAGGGGTGGCTGCTGCCCTAGTTTTACTGGGATGGAGTTAATTTTATTTCTCAGTAGCTGCTCCAGTGCTGTGGTTTGGATTCAGGACAAGAATAATGTTGACATCGCAGGGATGTTTTTTTGGCTGTTGCTGAGCTTACTCTAAGTCAAGGACTTTTCAGTGTCCCA